TTTTCATAAAATTTTAACATTATGTTCATACGAACGTTTCTTCTCAAAATAAGCTAAGGAATCATATCCTTTATTTTCAGCCATCAATTAAATTACCCATTTGAAAGCAGGCCACCCTTATACATTTTTAATTCATGGAGCGAATTTCACAAATTTTTTTGTTAATGAGGAGGGGGGAAAGGTGTATTTTGGCTCTGAATGGCGTCCACTTTTTCAAACCAAGGCCTACTAGATCACATTCAGAGGTTGAAACATCCAGAATCCATATTAGCGATTTTTTTAGAGAAAATCTACGTACTTCAATGGAATTGGTGTACTCTGAAATAGATCTGTACCAAATTTCACGAAAAAATATGCAACATTAATGAATCTACAGCGTGTCTCATTTCAAATGCCCCCCCCCTATATCTCAGCTATTAGTCGTGGGATCTTTACCAAATTGGGACCGGTATGAATGACCACCAGTTTTTTAAGACATGCATCCTTATGGACAGTGCCGTGCATTTTTTTTTTTGAAGAAGGGTACATTTTTTTATGAAATTAGGATTTTTTACAGGAAAACTGACCTCAGGATATTGTTCTCCATGGTTTCGAACCCCCCTATGTAAATTTTTATATGATTCTCTGGTAGTAGTCCATGGTCAAATTGGAGGTGATGAGATAATTAAGAGAACAAACTCAAAGTCTCGCTCCAAGAAAATTATAATCAAATCATATATGCTACATGTTTCGACTCCTAGGAGTCATCATCAGGCTAAAATACAACACTTATAAATGAAAGAAGTTCCATCACTATTGGAAAATGGGTGACATACCTTGCTAGGTAGGAGGAGAAAAGAAACTATAAAATTGAGAACATAGTTCTTGAGGGTTTTAAGCCCAAAATAATTTTAAGCAACATTTTTGAATTTTGGTTTTTTGAACCCCCAAATAAACATTTTTCCTAAGATGCTTCTTATGAAGGATTTAAAAAAAAAACAGGAACACCTGAACAGCATTTTTGCGAACGTAATAATTATTCACTCGAAAACGGTGAGTTAAACCTCTTCGCTGGTTCAACAAAAAATAGTATTTCTTGTTTTTTGTTTCAAATCACGATTTTTTATAACTCCCGGAGTTATTGAACGTTCCAAAATTTGCAGTATAATTGAATTCACTATTCTTTCAAATGAAAAAAATGAAGCCAATTAATCCTGTTAATTTGGAATGAGGCGATTTTTTGCATATGGAGGTTTGAAAGTATGAGGGACAATGATAAGAAGTAAGTTCTCTTTTGAAAAAAAAAAATCCTAATATGATTTTATAAAATTCGACCCTTTCTATTTAAAAAATGCACGGCACCCTCCAATAGGATGTTCGTCTCTGAAAAATAGAAATTTACGTAACAAGTCCGGAAAATACTGTTTTTTTGGACGAGTAGACAAAATTCTAGACCGAGCCGTAGGGGAGTCCTGGAAGTCTGCGAGTCCAAAAAAACTGTTTTTGGACGTGTTTCGTACACTGTTTTTTTGGCAACCATGTAGAATAACAAATCAATGAGACACATTTCCGTATTATATTTCTTAGTAGAATGAAATTTCTTCATTATTATTTCTCATTTGTATCAAATACTGAAATTTGAACAGAATACCTATACCTACTAAGTGTTACATTGGAAATTTCATATGGACATTTTCAAACTCACTATCGCAGCTGCTTTAGATAGTTTATTGCGATAATTGCAACCAATCTTTCAAAGATCAAAATTGGTATGTAATGGTAATTACATTATGTACATTTGAATGATAATTCTAAATCTGAACTCAAAGAAATTCAACACGGAGTTCCTCAAGGATCTGTTCTAGGACCGTTGCTTTTTATCATATACATCAATGATCTGTGCTACCACATGATAACGAGATATCAGATTGTCCTTTTTGCAGATGATACATCTTTTATCAGTTCGAATAAAGATATTCCACTTCTTCTTGATCAAGCTGATGCTCTAATAATTGAAGCAGAAGCTTGGTTTTCTGCAAATAATCTTCAGCTCAACAAAGAGAAAACACAAAATTTAATAATTTCTAGTAACAATCTAATTACGGAGGGTAACCACTGTAAACTGCTTGGGATTGTTATAGATGACTGTCTTAATTGGAAACACCATGTAGATATGCTTAGTGCCAAACTTTCCAAAGTTTTATTTTTGCTCAGACAACTCAAACAATGCCTCAATCCAAGTTTGTTAAAATATATTTCGGTTTATTTCATTCCCTGATCAGCTATGGAACTGTTTTATGGGGTGACTCAGTTAATTCTATCCAAATTTTCAGGCTACAGAAACGTGCGATTAGATTATTAGCTAGGGTGGGTCATAAAGAACATTGTCAACCACTTTTCAAGCGACTAGGTATTTTACCACTTCCGTGTATTTACATATTCCAGAATTTGACTGAAATTCATTCTAGAAGGCAGAACACTCTCAAAATTTCTAGCATTCATGATCACAATACACGCTCTGCTAGTTCAGATGATTTAATTGTGCCTCGATACAGATTGGTCAAATCAGAAAAGAATTCATTGAATTTCAAATTGTATAATAAACTACCTCATTTTGTTAGATCTATGGATGAAGAATGTTTCAAAAATAATGTTAAGAAAATCCTTCTTGGACATTGATTTTACTCTGTTGATGAATTTTATCGAACATCAATTTTATAATCGTGTTCTTGTTTTATTCGTTTTTTTTTTATTCAATGTTTGTTTTTTATCTATGACTACTATTATTTGTGTATGATTGTACTTTATTTAGTTGTATAACATTTTCTGTGATTTATTTTCTACATGATTCTGTAACCCTGACGTGCTATGAACCATAATATGTATGAGTAACATAGTCAAATAAATCTTTCTTTCTATCATCTACATTTATCAAAACCATATCTACCAAGATTTTCATAGTTACAGTGACAACAACGATGTGGTAATTCCCGGACTATACCGGAAAAATGTTACTTTCTCAAAGAAAAAGCCGTTTTTTATCAGAAATTAAATATCTGAAAGTAGCAGAAATTTAGTGGATAATATTGAAGATCCTTTTTCGAAGTCTACAAAGTTTTTAGGAGTATTTGTGGACAATAATACGAGTTGGAATACGAACATTAATCATGTTTGCACAAGAAAGTGAATAGTTGTTACTTCGCTATACTGCAATTAAAAAATATCTTTACAACGAGCCAATTGCTCAATGTCTACTATGGGGTGGTGAAGTGGGCGCGTCCACAGTTTTCATTTCTCAGAAGAGGGTTATTCGTTTAATTTTCAACTTAGACAATAGAGAAACATGTCGAAATCATTTTAAAAAACATGAGCTCCTCACATTTCATTCAACTTACATCTACCAATGCATAGTTTACGCCAAAGGTAATTACAAGAATTTTTCTTTCAACTCAGACTATCACGACTATCCAATCGATCTTCAAACCTCATGAGACCCCCCCAAACACGGTACAAGTCTATATGAAAGAAGCCCAATGTACAAGGGAATCCAAATTATTCAAACATAGACTCAAAAAGTTCTTATGCAACGAATGTTTCTATGATACATATAAATTTTTAAACAATAAATATTAGATGTTTATATACATGTTTCACTAAGTTACTGTATTGTGATATATTTTTATTTATATTTAGTTCTTAATGCTGTTTTATTCTGACGAGAACTTTCTTCCACTGACATGTCATGTTTCTTTGTGATGAAAAAAGATGAATAAATTATTATTATTATTATAAACTGGTCATATTGATGGTCCAAATTTGGTCGTGCGATACGACTAGTAGCTGAGATATAGAGGAGGGGACGTTTGAAACTTGACACGCTGTAGATTCGTTAATGTTGAATATTTTTCCATGAAACTTAGTACAGGTCCATTTCAGGAGACGCAAGTGTACGTGGATTTTTTCTAAAAAAATCTCAAATATGGATTCTGAATTTTTCAGCCTCTGAATGTGATCTAGTAGGCCTTGGTTTAAAAAAAGTGGACGCCGCTTAACTCCACAATACATCTTTCCTCCCTCTATACATTTCAAGAAAAAAATCGTGAAAATATCTCCATAAATAAAAAAATCATGACGGTGACCCGCTTTCAAATGGGTCACTCTGTATATACTCAGGATTCCATGTACATGTATGTATAGTATATTTTTTCATAAACATTTTTCAACCCGTTTCAAAATGGCAGAAATGGCTTCAGAATTTTTTTTCCCACTGAAAGTTACAATTTTTTCTCACATTCTGGAAGAAGATATTTTTTAAACAACTTTCATCCAAAAAGTGTTTTTCTAATCCATTTGGTTGATAGCTGTGGGAGTTTTAAGTTGTCATTTTCAAATAAATTTCGACTGACCCCGCCGTAATAAAAATCAAGTTGGCCGGAAAACAAATTGTTTGTTAACAATATGAATTTTGTATTCATATTAAAATCGATTACAACTTGAACCCGGCCGACTTGATTTTTATTACGAGGTTGGTCAGTTGAGATTTATTTAAAAATACCAACTTTAGTGCCCATAGCTTTTAACCAAATGAAGATAGAAAAACACTTTTTGAATGGAAGTTGTTTGAGAAAAAATATGTTTTTTTCAGAATATATGAGAAAAAAATTGGGACTGTGTTCTAACGCTATTTCCGCCATTCCGGGAAGTTTGAATCACCCTGTACATGAAAGATATTCCCCAACCACACTAGTGCCGCCTCGCGGAAACAATATATCTAATAATTGTCGCGCATTCTTGGCATTCTATAAAAATATTTAGAGTCTTCTTACTTAGTAGAATGTCATATGGTGAAGTATTTTCCTTTAGAACCCAAGATGGGGTCATTTTCAAAAAAGTTGTTTAGGTTCCAACTTTCTATTTTTGAAATCAGCCCGAATAACCTTGTCGAGTATGTTGTGAACATTTCCTATTATAACTTTCAAGTGATAATGCTTTTTTGTTTTTCTTTATTGTTTCATTTCTAGACTCTGCCATTTATCGAACAACTTGATTTAAATAGTAAGCGAGATCAAGATAGTAATGCCGTTTCGCTAGAAGAGAAAAAGCAAGCTTTAATTGATAGCCTTGTTAATTGCGAGCATCCATTTACTGATAGATCGGTAAGCATGCATTCTCATTTTTTTTTCGTACGCACGGTGTATTTAGAGGAGACAACGCGATACATATGAATATGGAAAACTCAGAATTATAAAGATGGGTATTGAACGGACACAATCCAGCTAAAATATTCTCATTATCAGAGTGGCTAATGATAATTATTGTCTATAAAAATTGGATGAAGAAAAATGAAAGATCACTCCAATCTACCATTTTTTGTGCACTTCTTTGTATATATTATTATATACTCTTGATACAAATTATTCAATAACTTTATCACTCAACAATAATCTTCCATATAAATTGCACACCGTATATAATTAATTATAACTGTCTCTTGCGCCGCCGAAATATTATTTATATTTAGCGGTACTTTCAGTGAAGGTCGATTTGCGAGAGTTCAACATACAATCCTATCAACGGCCGCTGCTCTATTTCGCTGAACTTAATCTCGTAAGAAAATGTACCTACATTTCTGCATCATCTGCATAGTGCTTATAGTACAACAAGGCCTGCATGCTCCGTGGGTGACGTCACTTAGTGAGGCCTAACCAGCGGCTCGAAACGACAAGCGCTTATAGCGCTATAAGGCGACCGCGTATTTCGATTTTAGTTTTAGATCATCATTGAGCCGATTTTGCTGTTTTTTGAAGGGCTTCCGGTTAAAAAAGGATGCCAGTCGTCAACTGAGCCCTTCTTCGCACCCCATTCGATTTTATTATGGAAAAACGAAGTTTTAAAGCAAAAACCAGGATAAAACACAAATATCCACCTACAGCAACCCATTCGAATTAAATATATTGGCAAAAATTGTGGTCAAGGTAAACTTCACACCTACTTATACAGGGCCCGCAGAACATAAACTTATCGTGAGATTGATCGAAAGAAAATTGTGGAAAATGTATTTTATTTTGATTGACATGCTGTTTGTTACAATTACCTATATTTATCTTGGAGAATTCCTATTACCTGAAAAAATAACCAGTGAGTGTTTTCAATTTTCTGTTGTTGGATTTTTCACCCAAGTGGATCGTTACACTTGAAACCGTAATTTTTAAGGGTAAAACTGCATTTATCATGCGATGGTTTTTTTTTTGAAAATTTTTTTCGGTACTCACGTATTCATGTCTGATAAACCGAATTTTATAATGAAAATGTGAACAAACCACTATTTATTGAGATATTTCAAGAAAAAGTTCGAAATTTCGCATTCTTTCTCCCCTTGTGTTGGGGGCATTTGAAGCTACTTGCTCTTATTTTGTCATTGGACACTCATGATGTACTTCGATGGCACATTTTTATATAGAAAATTCAACAGGAAATATGATTTTTATGGCGAGTTTTTCATATTTAGTGAACAAGCATTCCAGATGACGACCATTTAATCAATAGTCAATCAAAATACGAGATGTCAAATGTCAATAGATTGCTTTCGAATGACATTACACACGCCATTATTTTGAATGATATTCTTCCTTCTCTTCACTAAATATGGATTAATCTCAAGAAAATCATATTTATAGTTGAATTATATATAAATTGTCCAATATGATGAAAAAAGAAGGGAAATTTGTTCTAAATGCCATTCAGAAGACAGGTGAAAAAGAAGGTGAAATTTGGAACTTTTTAGTCAAATATCTTCATGATAAATATCATGATGAATGCAGTTTTACCTTTTTAAGTAGAGTGTTTGTAGTTCATGTTAATATGATAGTTGCAATTTGATCATTGGAATGAATTCTGCATTCATTGCCACGAGGCAAATGACCGTTTTCAGAAAGAAATTTGAGAATGAGAATTAAAAATGCCCGTTTATTATGAACATTCAAGGAAATTTCCTCGAATTCAGAGATGATTTTGTTGACTATAATATACTAATACAAAACTAACTGCACAATCAAAGCTTTTCTATTTTTCCTCTACTTATAGTTTTTATATGAGAGTAATTGTCTTCTATTATTAATTCATCATTATAAATTAAGCTCTGTTTACTACTGAACTTAGATGGAGTAAAATCCTCGCGGTGAATTGCATATACTTACCCACATTTTCGATAGCTCCTCGTCCAACGGGAAACTAAAAGCATGAACTTTTGAACCACCCACATAATTCCCCCGACAAAAGGGAACACAACACTTAAAAGCCATTGTTATTTCGCCGATCACAACACAAAATATTTCACAAAACAGTAATTTTTCCGCCAATTATTTTGATGAATAAACAACAAAAGAATTCGGGACCGTTTCAAAAACATACGTGAATCACCGATGAATTAACACGAACTGACGCGTTCGTCGACTAGCGATAAAATAAAACACTGGCCTCTCTTGACGACGTCACGAGCTGTTTACGTCAGAGTCTGCTGGCCTTGTTGTATCGGTGGTAACGGCTTAGTGCTACCACCTACAATATTGAAATCTAATGATCGCATATTTTTAGGCTGCATCTGTAACTTTGCACAAAAAAAAGATGAACCTAAAAACGGTTTTTTTTACATTGTACATAAAATGAGATTGATACTTTGTATTAGTGGAAAATATTCATGGTGTTCCATTACTTATCAGATGACGGTCGAAATTTGCAGCCGGCTCTTGGACAACATGTTCCATCCAAAATAACGAAGGTTAAGTCATTTACAATAAGGACAATTTCCAAGCTTGATTATGTCCTTCATTCATCGAACCTGCTATTTCTAATATTCCGTATACTATTTATCAGGCTAACTCCTGGAGATATTACTTGTATCAATGAAAATTGTAGATATACATAGTATGCCACCAAAAGGCTTATTTGGAAAACTTAATATTAATAAGGATGAAAATTTTTTGGATAAGTAAAAATCCAATGAAATCAAATAATTTGTGGTCACATGATTGAACACAACCAATCAATTCAACATACATCTGATAATAAATAATCGATAATTATATGCAGGGTGTTGGGTGTTGTTCCACTTATTATTTTGACTATTAATTATCGGACGTCCGGAGGAATTGCAAAAGTTATTTCCGGTGCTCCTGACCTCGCCGAAAGCAAATGCTCGAATTCAATTTTGTTCTTCCGTCTTCTATTACACAGTATTTTCATCGTATAGCGTTCGTAAAGGATTCCGAAAATTATCGCCAAAATTATACAACCTGCAATATTACAACATGATTTGGCGAGTACAATCAGTTGGTTTTTTTGTGTTTCCTCTTGTTGAATGAAATGTTGAATAATTACAAAAAGCTCTAGCTGGAGACTGCCCTGCACTGATGAGAGTTAAAGAGCTCGAAACCGGTCTGTAGGTGTCTAGTGTGGCCTGGCTAGATCGAAATCAATAGGCATTCAGGAAAGATTCACTTGTATCAGTATTCGTTTATACGAGTCGATGCATAGATTTCGGGAGGATGTAATTCAATGTTTTGCGTGGCATTAGCCAGGAAAGTAGTTGTTTTTCTCCCGAAATCGATCATTGTTGTTCATTTTATGTACATTGTATGGATATGACTTTGAGCTTTTTGTAATTATTTAGGAAAGTAATTGCTTTTCTCCCGTCGTCATTGTTGTTGTTCATTACACTTGTAGAAATTATTGAGTTTTTGCTTTATTATGAAAGACTATTCTGTCCTAGTCTCCTTATCATTGTGCTGAGACCAAGCAACGACAACTATTCTGGATAATCTATGTCAATGTTGAATTACTTTTACGTGAAACCAGATTTTGTTGCTCTCTTACGTTTATGATGATCTAAAAATGAGTGAGATAATGAAAAATCATATTTCCACCAATATCATCATATAATATAAAATAGAACTTTAGTGATGGAACCCAAAATAGGATATTTATTTTCAGATTCTTGCGTGAGAGTGTAACGATCCTAAAATCTCGACATCGACAACTAATGTCAATGTCTTGTCCATCCTAACTTGATTACCCTGTATAAACATTAAGTGCTTGGAGGAATGATGTAATGCAAATCCTATTGAATGAGATCAATCCGACTGGGCTGAATCCACTGGCGCCTGAAGAATGAATTTCACGCTTTGTGATCTCTAATTATCAACACAATACATGGTCGAGGTGATGAAAAATCCGAATAAAATATCGTTTTCGCGTTATCGTAGGATGCCAGCATCCGATGTGCCATGCTACGGTACGGCGAGTACAGCCCCAACAACCCGCAACTGAGAGTTACAGCCGCCCCTTACTTGGGTTTGGGGGAGTATGAACAAAGGAGAAATTATTTCTTGCAGAAACAACGGGCGGAATATTTGAGGCACCTGGCCAAGGTAAGAATCAATCAATTATATTGTCCTGCAACTATCGTCTCAAGAAAATAAAATAGTTTCCATAAATTAAAGTCGTAGTAGGCTTCGTTTGCGAGTTACAGATTGATGAAGTTGAAAATATTTATAGAATTTTTTATGTCCACCCTGTATGGCTTCAAATCAAATCAAAATATACTTTATTGTCTGAAGAATAAAATTCTCATTGACAAAGTCGAACATGCTTATATACAGTGTGTCCCACTTAGCATGCTCACCATGGGTATCTTTTAAACGGTGAGAGATACGAGGTCGGTTAAATGACACCAAATGTGTAGTTTGTCAGGGCCAACTATAATGTGAAAAAATATTTTGATAAAATCTATTCGTTTTTGTTTTATACGCAAAAAACAGATTTTGATCATTTTCATGTCTTCTCCGTAACTTCTTTATTTATGAAAATATTCAAATAGGAATTTCACATTCTCATGGCAGTTTTTCAAAGTGATTTCGAAAAAAATATGAAATTTATACCAACTCTTCTAGAATTTGAGATATCAGCACCAACTTTAGTTTTTCAAATGTAGGTCATAGCTCACTATGACTTAGTTACAAATAACTTTTTTTTCTCTTTCAGATGATATGTCGCAGTAATAGTTTTGTGTTGATAACAACGGAGTTATCGTCATTTATACAAGAACAAAAAATTATTTGTAAGCCGCCATCTTGACTTTATAAATTTTAACAAAAAAATCATGATCTCCGACCTCAAAAACATCCACTTACCAATTTTGAATGGAATCGGACCAAATCTAGTCCGCCATCTTGGAGCAGCCATTTTTTTTTAATTTCAACAAAAATTCCATACTGTATTGTCACCGGAATTATGAACACCTGCCAAACTTCAAGTTAATCGGAGTTATGGAATTTTTGTTGAAATTAAAAAAAATGGCTGCTCCAAGATGGCGTACAAGATTTGGTCCGATTCCATTCAAAATTGGTAAGTGGATGTTTTTGAGGTCGGAGATCATGATTTTTTTGTAAAAACTTCACAAACGATAAGATTTCCACAAAATTTATTAAACACACGACATGTTTCGCTAACACAGTAGCTTCGTCAGGTGATATACTGGTACAATGAACTAACCTAACGTTGGCTTGCTTAACTTTTATATATCTTACCTTCCCAAACTGAAGGATTAGTTACCTGTGGACAGGTACGATAAACCTTCATTTTCGGAAATTAGGCACAATCATTAAATTACGGTATACCGGATTAACTTGAAAGAGTTGATATCAAATACATATTATTACTTACTAAGAAAACAAATTCAACAGTGGTGAACTATTAAGGTCTAATTGATCATTAAGTAAAATGTCAAAAATTTTGAGTTTGTTGATTTTTAATGATTCAAAATGATTGAGTTTCAGTCCTTTATTTTCTATGTGCGGAATTTCAAAAGTATCATCAAAACTATGGTTTTCTTCTAATTTATGGTTGGCGTATGTTGAATTTGTTTTCTTTTTCAAAAAATTCATCTTATGTTCATGAATGCGCTGATTAAACGTACGACCTTTCTGACCGATATACAGTGCGTTCATAAAGTGTGGAAACGCTCCATTATCTTACAATATAATTATTTTCAGAGGTAAAGCTCGGACAGGTCGATTTTGTATTTCAGTCTTCCATCTTTTTTTACAAAAAAATAATTTTTTCCCCCACCACCTTACAAGATATGACGTCATCGATATTTTTTTTTTAATTGAAAGGGTATATTTTTATATCAAAAATTGAAAGCCCATATTTTTCTGAGTTCAACCATACCACATACGTCATATCTTACACTTCAAGTTACAGTATACTGAGTATAAAAGAAACCAGTGTTCATATTTTCTCAACATTCATTCAATTATTTATTTGCAATGAAAATATCATAAGAAGTAGTGAAAATGAAGTAGATTTGTTATTTGTTTATTTTCACTACTTCTTATGATATTTTCATTGCAAATAAATAATTAAATGAATGTTGAGAAATATGAACACTGGTTTCTTTTATACTCAGTGTACTGTAACTTGAAGTGTAAGATATGACGTATGTGGTATGGTTGAACTCAGAAAAATATGGGCTTTCAATTTTTGATATAAAAATATACCCTTTCAATTTAAAAAAAATATCGATGTCATATCTTGTAAGGTGGTGGGGGAAAAAATTATTTTTTTGTAAAAAAAGATGGAAGACTGAAATACAAAATCGACCTGTCCGAGCTTTACCTCTGAAAATAATTATATCGTAAAATAATGGAGCGTTTCCACACTTTATGAACGCACTATACCTTAGGACAAGATCCACATTTGAGTTTGTATACCCCTGATTTTTCGAATTTAGAAGTTTTGTCTTTATTATTCTTGATAAACCGTCCCAACGTGTTATTTGTTCTATATGCCACTTTTGAGTCCTGTTTATGTAGAAATGAAGCTAATTTCTCAGTTGATGATCTGAAATAGGTTAAAGTCCTATAATTTTGATTATTATTCTTGATGGTAGGATAAACTTCTTGAATAGCTTTATGATGAAGTTTTTTAGAAAGAATACTGTCTATCAAATTAACGTTGTATCCGTTGTTGACTGCAATCTGTTTTATGATATTGAGTTCTTTATTGAAATTTACTTCCGAAAGAGGGACATTCACTAGCCTGTGTATCATACTATTATATGCTGCAATTTTATGTTGATAAGGGTGTGTTGAATTATTATGAATAGTGATATCAGTATGGGAAGGTTTATGGAAAATTGAAAAATCATGTTTATCGTTAATTTTACTTATTGTCAAATCTAAGAAATTGATTGAATTTTCAGTCTCTATTTCTATTGTGAATTTAATGTTTGGATGAATAGTATTTATATATTGATGGAAAGTGTCTTATTGTCTATTGGTTCCTTTAAAACATACTATAACGTCATCTACGTATCTATACCAATACAAACATTGTTTTATCAATGAATGTTTATGTATTATTCGCTCCAAGTTGTCCATGAAGATTTCAGCAAGTAAAGGGCTCAGTGGATTTCCCATGAATGATGAACATAAGATGAATTTTATGAAAAAGAAAACAAATTCAACATACGCCAACCATATATTAGAAGAAAACCATAGTTTTGATGATAATTTTGAAATTCTGCACATAGAAAATAAAGGACTGAAACTCAATCATTTTGAATCATTAGAAATCAACAAACTCAAAAATTTTGACATTTTACTTGATGATCAATTAGACCTTAATAATTCACCACTGTTGAATTTGTTTTCTCAGTAAGTAATAATATGTATTTGATATCAACTCTTTCAAGTTAATCCGGTATACCGTAATTTAATGTAGATATTGTGCCTAATTTCCGAAAATGAAGGTTTATCGCACCTGTCCACAGGTAACTAATCCTTCAGTTTGGGAAGGTAAGATATATAAAAGTTAAGCAAGCCAACGTTAGGTTAGTTCATTGTACCAGTATATCACCTGAGGAAGCAACTGTGTTAGCGAAACATGTCGTGTGTTTAATAAATTTTGTGGAAATCTTATCGTTTGTGAAGTTTTTACATTTATCATGGATTTTCATCAAGTAACGGCCGAGTCAATTCAAAACATGATTTTTTTGTTAAAATTCATAAAGTCAAGATGGCGGCTTCCAAATAATTTTTTTTTTCTTGTATAAATGACGATAACTCCGTTGTTATCAACACAAAACTATTACTGCGACATATCATCTGAAAGAGAAAAAAAAGTTATTTGTAACTAAGTCATAGTGAGCTATGACCTACATTTGAAAAACTAAAGTTGGTGCTGATATCTCAAATTCTAGAAGAGTTGGTATAAATTTCATATTTTTTTCGAAATCACTTTGAGAAACTGCCATGAGAATGTGAAATTACTATTTGAATATTTTCATAAATAAAGAAGTTAGGGAGACATGAAAATGATCTTGTTTTTTGCGTATAAAACAAAAACGAATAGATTTTTTCAAGATATTTTTTCACATTATAGTTGGCCTTGACAAACTCCACATTTGGTGTCATTTAACCGACCTCGTATCTCTCACCGTTTAAAAGATACCCATGGTGAGCATGGTAAGTGGGACACCCTGTACATACATATAAAGAAATAAAGTAGAGTATAAAAATGAAACCCTACATTGTATAAATAGAACTAACACAATATAGTGAACAATATAAAACACATTAAAATTACAGAAACTGTTGAAACCAAAGAATATAGTTAAAAGTTTTAAATCGAAAAACAACAGGATATCAGCAATGTGAATTATTTTAGGAATTTTTTTGAAAAGAATTCGTCTAAGGAGTAGCAAGCTTTTTCAATTAGAAGACTTTTGACCAATTTTTCAAACATTTTTGGGTTATTGATACATTTTACCTCATCAGGCAAATGGTTATACAATTTTCTGCCATTGTAAATGAAAGAGTTTATTATTAATGTAGAGCTAGGTGCTAGGTATTGGTATATTTAAATCATGTGCCCGTCTTGTATTATAGTGTGTAGTAATATGATTTTCGTATTTATATTTTCGGTGTATGAGACATACCGTTTCCAGAATGAAAATACATGGAAGAGGTAATATTTTGTGCTCTATGAATAATGGCTTGCAAGTATCCCTGAATCCAGCTCTACACATGTATCTCACGGCTCTTTTTTGTAGGACAAAAATCACATCAAACAAAGTTTTACTACATGAACCCCAGAAACAAATTCCATATCTCAAATGTGAATCAATGAGAGCAAAGTATACACTTTTGGCCATTTCTCTACCAAGTTCCCATGATGTTGTTCTGACTGCATAACAGCCAGATGACAACTTTTTCCTTAATTTGTCAATATGGTCACTAAACTTCAATTTATTATCAATGTGTAAACCTAGAAACTTCGTATCTGTTCTATTACTAATTACTTGATTACCTAACTGAAGTTCTCCCTGCAGAGTGCAATTATCGTGGTGGGAAAATTTAGTCTGTTA